CACTTTTAATATATAGAAGATATGAGATTAATATACTATTGAAATCAACTATTTTAGAGTTTCTTATATTATAAGACCATGTATGCCACTCACTTAGGCAAAGTAAACATTTTTCTTACTTTTAAGTAAAAAATATTATTTGTTTTAACAATTAATGTTAAGGATTTAATCCAGCATCAAACCTAAGTTAGTGATGTTTTTGGTTACTTGACTTTCACCATCTATGGTCAACGGATAGATCTCATAAAGTTCGATTCTCGTTCTCAACCCATAACTAATATGAGCTCGAAGCTTCCTTGTACAGTTTAGGAAGGGGTTTCGATTGATCAAAAAGAAGAATCTTCTTCAACCACATTGGTTTAAAAATATGATCAACATATAAAGAAATGAAGAATTATTTTTAATAATGTGGACCTTGAACGCGAGATTTACTTGTGAGATTTGAAAAAATAAGATGAAAATTTTCATTTTCAATTTCAATAAGCTTTAAAATTATTAAAATCCCATTGATGATTTGAGTAAAATATCACCTTGAGTTTAAAATTTAAATAAGTTTCATAAGAAAATTTTAAATAATCGAAGTTATATGAGAAATAGGTAAGTACATTACTATAGTGTCTTCTCTCTTTAAGTTATGTTTTCAAGGAAATAAAATAATTTTACTAATTTATGACAGTTTTAATTATATAGGAAGAAATTATTGAACGCATTTTGTTACGTGCGATCCCTTTCACATCATCACATGTAAATTCCTAGCACTTGACCATCTCAAGGGAGTGGGTGAAGAAGAAATATCAAAACGAAACTAACAAGATCGTGATAACAATTTTAAGACGATCGAATAGAAATAGCCTAGGCCCAAATCTGCGGTAGAAGCAAAAACGGAAAACTTGACAAACGAGCTCTCAAAATCTTATCCTCTATTAGAAAATTTTGAAGAATTAAGCTTTGTTACCAGATGAATCTGACATCTTTGTTGACAGAAGATGATGAGCAAAAAAATAATTGCATGGCATTGTTGACTTTTTTTTTAAACAGTCCAATGAAATTCTACCACGTGGCATTTCGTCATCTAGGATGTCAAACAAGACATTAGTGTAGCATGATTGAATTTTGAATGATATGAAAAAGTAATTAACCGACAACCATAACGACCATCATGAAAAATTGATTATTGCTATAATCGAGATGGTAACTTCTAAGTTCTTACGACAATACTCAAGTTTTTATATTGACGATACATTTTTTTCTTTAATCGAAACCATTAAACTAATAATCAACTCAAAGAATAACTGATTTCAATAGTATATTCCCCAGTAACAATTACAACTTTTGAAATTATGTTCTTTGGATTGTCATCCAAAACCAAGCATTTCTCTTGGCATGGACGTATACTTTGCTCGATTTCTTAGTTTTTAAAGATACATTCTAAGTTTTTGCCTTGGTTATATCCATCTATATTTTGTCATTCTTGCCTACCAAAATACCTTTATTCTTGGCTTAAACCCCATGCTATTTAAGAACTTCAAATCCTTACATTATATCCCTTCCCACTCTTTAGTTCTCCCTAGCATAGAATTCCTTTGTTAATATATTATCATCTTTTTTATTTTATTGAGAGAAGGAATATATATAAAGGCAAAACAATGCCAAGTTGCTTTCCGATAGCGAGCAAGACAACAGTAGCACATGATGTTATATTTGATCCGTCACCAGGATCAATGGACAATCCTAATCGTGTTCTTATAGTCATGAATGGTTTGAAGGATGTCTCGATTGATTTACTCGAATGGGTCCTCAAGAATTTTACTTTCCGCCATTGTTGCACTATTACTATCCTTGGTATCTCACCCTGGCTAAACATTCCACGTGAGTTTAATATAGTGTACCAAATATGTCTCTAGTGTATATCCGCAGAAGTATTATTTTTCATCTATCTTTTCTCGTTATAATATTTTTTTTTATCGATTTGCAAACTAACATAAAATTTGCTTGTATGTATAGTCTCAGCAAAGACTTGGTCAGACATTTGGAGCATGGATCTCGATGATTTGTCTACTGTGAGAGAGAGAATTGAGTGGAAGAATGATCCCAAGTACCAAAAGGTTCAACGACTTGTTGACCTTTGCCAAAGTTATGGGGTATTTGTATTCACAACTCTCTACGTATAAGCACAAGTATTATTTATTAATTATTATTTGATTTAATGATACTTTTTGTGTATTAACTGATTTCAGGTGGTGCCAGAGATCAGAACTGAAATGGGGCATCCAATAAGACTATTGGTTGTTGAGCAAATTAGCAGTCTGAATGCTACGCTAGTGGTTTTCGATAGGTACGTTAAAAAAATCTGATCGAATAATGTACATGAAGTAATATATGGTATTAATTTGGGCACGTATCAGACACCACGACAGGAAAAACATAGAATACTATGCAGAGAAAGTCCCGTGCAACATGGTGGTGGTGAACGACAATGGAGAAGTCGAGTTGATCAAGAAAAGATCGTGTATGGATAGTGAAGCCGAGAACACACCTACAACTATTGCTGAGTCCTCGGATGCTGCTGCCATAGCGAATTGCTCGACCTCTATATTTTCTGAACAATTGAAGAAGCGTCTCAAGCCAAAATCTCGAGGGAAACAGGACAAAGAATTGAAAAATCTTGATACAGATTAGAGGATTACTAGCAGAGATGTGAGATCAAAATACTTCAATGTATGTTCCTAAATATTAAATAATGTTGATAATGTCTATGTAAAGCGGATCGAACCCAGACGAGGTGGGAAAATTAGGATTTGAGATCCTAAGAATGGCTGTAAAATCGTCTTATGCTGCATGCCAAAAAATAAAATCCTTTCTTTTCTATTTGGCTGGGGTTGATATCACTGAAACATCTTGCTATACTCTTCTAGAGGTTCTCCCTTCACTAGAAAACCTGATTAACTCTCCCCTCGCTAGAAAACTTGATTAACTCTTAGGATGAGCTCGATAGAAAGGATATGACAGTTGTTTTCAAGCATAGGATAAGCTCGACTACAAGAAGTGTGTTGATCAGTACATAATTGGGTTTTTATGTTTTCTTCATCTATAGAAAGGGTAATTTGATGCAGCAAGAGACCTTTATAGTAGGGGAGCTAAGTGGAGCGAGTCGTTCGCCATCTCACACCCACAATTTCTCGTGCGAGGCGCACGTTGGCTCGGGAGTTTGCTCGTCATATGGGTTAAAAATGTAATTTCAGTAAAAATATAGATATTGCATCATATAATATTGTGATAATCATGACAGCCAAGTCTTGTTAGTGTACGTTTGGATGAGCTTATAAGTAACATATAAGATGACTTTTTGAAAAGCAGGCCAACTTTCAAAAAAATCATCTTGTAAGCTGCTTATAAGCACACCCAAACATTAAGTCCACAAATTTTAAATACATGTCGCTGTAAACAAATCAGTTCTCAGCTTCCAGAAATAACACTCCTCATTACTCAGATTTCTTCTTGGTTCTTTGTAAACTCTTTCTTCCATTTCTCGGACAGTTTTATATATTCTTTCAAACTTTACCTTTACAGTGGGATATCAGTAGTCTCACTTTTCAAAATCGTAACTTCAGATGCAATGTTATGATTTAAGCATCAAACCCAGTTTAAACACAAGAACCTTAAATTATAATCGAGGTTTTACAAACATACAACCGTTATTGGTCCACATAAACATAGAGAACAGCATGTTTCCTTTGGAGCATATGATTAAGATCTTACATGAGCAAAAAGATAAAGAATTAAGTTCATAAAAATTGTAATTAATAAGTTTAAAAATATATAGGGAATCATATCGTCAAAACTAAGCAATCATTTTCATCTCAAACATATACGAGCACCAAATATTTGCATTTAGTACCAGACTAAGTTTGTTGTCTCCAATGTGCTCGTGTACTGAACCTTCTCGTTGCATCAGATAACCATGATCGCAATTGAATGCCAAGAGAATTCATGTCTACTTGAGCAGATGGTTTAGAAACTTAGAATTATACAGATACATTAGATGCGTTCTTGGACATCTCTTTCACCATGGTCTTGACAAAAAGTTCCCCAGCCCTATACGAGGATCGAACCTGGATAAGCCAAAATCCAAAAGAATTTACTGTAGATCCAGAGGGAGATGAATATATAATCCACTAATTATGACAAAAATGAAGAGCACTTTTAATTTATATGAACCGTGCAAGTACACAAGCAATGCTGAAAGTTTCAGTCAGGGAAGGCTATTGATTAATTGAATGCAAAAACTCTGTTCATTAAGAATCATTAAGCAACTCTTTTAAGAATCCTTTTATTCAGCTACTTGGAAGTGTATATGAAAATGTTTGAAAAGTAACAACAAGGCAGTTGGTTTCATTAACACACCTAAGAAAGTATCAAAAGGTTATCGACAAGAGCTCAAGTGTTATTAAGCAACTTACAAGATGTGTGACTAATATAACTATCGATATATCTAAGGGGAAATTTGACGAAGTAAAATCAGAAACTTCTTGTAGGAATATCAATAACCGGCTTAAATGGATTGTATACTGTAGAAGTGTAACATAAGGAAAGTGAAAGATTCTAGGAATTTGATAGAAGTATATTTGGGAGATTGTTCCTAGATTAGTGCTGTTCCTTGATTGGTGGAGATCCACTCCTCAATTAGGGCTAATTATATGCTTGTCTTATGATGGAAACTCTCACCATCACCTTGTATATATATAGGTACCCGATTGTACAGAAAATATAAGCTGGAATTCAATCTTCTTCCCAGAAATTCACATGGTATCAGAGCCAGCCCACTGATCCATTTTATCCTCACCACAAAAATCTGCCATGGCCGATGAAAGACAAAACCTGGCACCTGAATTAACTCCTAATTCAGGAACGACATCAGTGATGCACAGTCATGGAGGTGCCGAAAATCCATCAATACTCATCACCGGCCACAAACTCAACGGGCAGAATTTTCTCCAATGGTCTCAGTCCGTAATGATGTATATATGTGGAAAAGGGAAGGATGAATACCTCACAGGTGAAATCGCTATTCCCCAGAAGACAGATCCAAAATTCAAGGCATGGAAAACCGAAAATCACATGGTAATGTCCTGGTTGATCAATTCAATGGAAAACGACATAGGAGAGAATTTTCTCCTCTATGGAACTGCCAAAGAAATCTGGGACGCAGCAAGGGAAACTTTCTCAAGTACGGAAAACACGTCAGAAATATTTGAGATTGAATCTACCCTACATGACCTCCGACAAGGGGACCTCTCCGTCACTCAGTATTTCAATACTCTTTCTCGTCACTGGCAGCAGCTTGACAGCTTTGAAGTTCACGACTGGAAGTGTCCTGAAGACACTGTACTGTACCGGAAAATTGTGGAGAAGAAGCGGACATTCAAATTCCTCCTTGGCCTCAACAAAAATCTGGACGAAGTAAGAGGAAGAGTGATGAGCACCAAGCCTCTTCCAAGCATTAGAGAAGCATTTTCAGAAGTCAGACGTGAGGAAAGCAGGAAAAAAGTTATGATGGGACAAAATTCTAACCCATCCCTTGAAGGATCTGTCCTTGCAGCGCGAGGTCCTTCATCAACCATCAACAATGAAAATCGGCAGAGAAAAGGGAGACCGTGGTGCGACCACTGCAGGAAACTCGGACACACCAGAGAAAATTGCTGGAAGCTCCATGGCAAGCCAGCTGATTGGAAGCCATCTAAACCGGCATATGACAGAGAAAACCGTGTCCATATTACTGCTGCCACAGGAGAAAAACCTACCTCAGC